AAAGTCTGGAATGGATTACCGTATTTTTTGCCCTATAGGACCCACTTTTTCCCCTCCAAAAATGAAGGGGAAATCTGGGTGTGTCCTATGGGGCGAATGCATGCTTTCGCTGAAGCTTGGAGAGCGAGAGGGGTTGGTGCGCACCGACCCCTCTCGCTCTCCAGACGTCAGGAAGACATCCGCAGCATGGGGAGCCCTGCGGGAGGTCCGCATTGATGTCTAGGCTGAGGATAGCAGCCTGCCGCCCAGCGCGAGGGACGCCCTAAGGCAGAGCGCCCCTCACGCTGGACAGACATTGGCCAGCCCCACAAGCTCGGGGGACAGCAGGGAGGCGCAGTGCCGCCATCCCGCTGTTCCTGGACCTGGTTCGGTTCCCCCGACCTGCTTTGGGGGGGGGGAAATAAAGGGGGAAAAAATTTCCTTTATTTCCCCACAAAAAAAATAGGTGCGTCCTATGGGACGAAAAATACGGTAATCCATTTTGCATTACTTTCTATGGGAAAGCATGCCTTGGTTTTGAAACGCTTTGGTTTTGGAAGACTTCCGGAACCTATTATGTTTGAGTACCAAGTACACTGTAACTCCTAAAATTTTAAAACCCTGGAGGAAGAAAATCTGCCCCCCCACTACAGTGGTACCTCAGGTTTAAGTACTTAATTCGTTCCGGAGGTCTGTTCTTAACATGAAACTGTTCTTAACCTGAAGCACCACCTTAGCTAATGCGGCCTCCTGCTACTACTGCACGTTTTTTGTTCTCATCCTGAAGCAAAGTTCTTAACTAGAGGTACTATTTCTGGGTTAGCGGAGTCTGTAACCTGAAGCGTATGTAACCCGAGGTACCACTGTACTTTATGAAAGGGATTCAAGAAACAAAGAGCTGCTTTGGAGAAGGCCTCACCCCTTCCTTCTTACGTTCAGGAACCTCCTTCCATTTGTCTCCTCTCCATCTTTTCCTCTTTCTCCCTCCACCATCCATCTATCCCTCTCCCCATCTCCTCTCCCCTTGAACTCACCAGATTTCTCCAAGGGTCCTGGGAGGGAATGCTCAGAGGTTGTGGGGAGGGATGCAGGAGACAGCCTGACCAGGTCAACCGTCCATCTTCCTCCTTCCATTCTGGCCAGGGTTGCAGGTTCAGTCTCAGCTAGGTTTGCAGGTTGAGCTTCCTGAGGAGCCCAGAAGCCAGAGCAAGTTGCAGCTTCCTGGGAGGGAGGGAAGAAGAAGCCAAGGGAGTCTGAGAGCCCCTGCAGGGATTCTCCTGCCCAAGACATTCTGCTGTCCCTGGAGAAGCCCCAATTGGGCATCCCCTCCCCAAGAGCCCCCTCCCATTTTCAAACACCTTTGGCAATTCCTTTCACCTGCCTGTCCCACCTCCCTTCCTAAGGCTGGCATGGTATGCACATTCGTGGCCTGAGAGTAGATCCCATGGAACTTAAGAGTTCATCTGCAAAGGACTGCTCTGAATACATGGGTGGCCCTTGCATGGAGAAGAAGGAAGCCCCTTGCTTGCATCAGGACCCCCTGGGAGAGGCGGGGGATCCACCCACTGCTCCCTCTGCCCCCTCCTTTGCCCTCCTGCCCTGGAAACACCCTTTGCTCCTATTGCTCAGGGGAGAGGCAGGAAGAGCCTTCAAACCCATCCGTTTCCTCCTCTGCAGCCCAGTGAGAGGGGAAGGAGCTGCAGTTCACTTCAGATACACACATGGTTTACTGGGATTGTGAATAAACACGTCCTCTGCCTTCCATGCGGTGGGAGTGGGGGGGTTAAAAGTGGTGAGGAACCCCCCTCCAGTCCTTTTGGGAAACAGGAGCTTTGGTCAGGAGTAAACAAGTTAGATGGCAAGTTCACAAGAGAAGCACTTTGGAGCACTGCTTGCTCTTACTATGTGTTTGGACCTAGAGGACAACATACACGTTTACACCACGGGATTCCTTAAAGAGGGCATTTCTTTATATTTGAGGGCCATTTCTACAAAACAGTAGTCTTATGATGGCAGCCCTATATAGGGAAGTTTTCGATGTTTTAAAATTTTTGGTGTTTTTGTTGGAAGCCGCCCAGAGTGGCTGAGGCAACACAGTTTTTATTTATTTATTATTATTATTATTATTATTATTATTATTATTATTATTATTCCCTCCTAAGCGCATCTTGCTATGCTTGCTGGTCAGAGACTTTGTCCCAACCCCCCCTTGACCGCAAGAGGGCTTCCTATTTTTACTGCTGTTCTTTAAATTTCTATACTGCCCTTCCTCCAAAGATCACAGGGCAGCTTCCAATAATAATAATAATAATAATAATAATAATAATAATTTTTTATACCCCGCCCTCCCCAGCCAAGTCCGGGCTCAGAGCGGCTTACAAGCAATAATAAAAACAAGTTGAATGATTACAACTTAAAAACAAAATTAAAATACAACATTAAAATATTGAAACATTAAAATATTAAAATGTAGCCTCCTCGCAGGAGGAGAAGGAAAGAAAAAAGAGAGGGAGGGAATCAAACTGGCACCAAGCCAAAGGCCAGGCGGAACAACTCTGTCTTACAGACCCTGCGGAAATATATCAGATCCTGCAGGGCCCTGGTCTAATGAGGCAGAGCATTCCACCAGGCCGGAGCCAGAGGTGAAAAGACCCTGGCTCTGGTTGAAGCCAATCTAACTTCCTTAGGGCCCGGAACCACTAGGGTGTTGCTATTTATGGACCTTGAGGCTCTCCATGGGGCATACTGGGAGAGGCGGTCCCATAGGTATGAGGGTCCTAGGCCGTGAAGGGCTTTAAAGGTCAAAAGCAGCACCTTAAATCTGACCCTGTACTCCACCGGGAGCCAGTGCAGCTTGAAAAGCACTGGATGAATATGTTCACATGGCAGAGACCCCATGAGGAGCCTCGCTGCAGCATTCTGCACCTGCTGGAGTTTCTGGGACAGTTTCAAGGGCAGCCCTGCGTACAGCGAATTACAGTAGTCAAGCCTGGAGATGACTGTCGCATGGATCACTGTGGCCAGGTCGGGGCGGGAAAGGTAAGGGACCAACTGCTTGATGTGGCGAAGGTGGAAAAATGTCACCTTGGCTGTTGCTGTAATTTGCGCCTCCCTGAAAAGGGAGGCGTCAAGGATTATACCCAAACTCTTAACGGAAGGCAATGGCACTAATTGGGCCCCCACAAGAGAAGGGAGTTGGTCTCTCATCCCCATGCCATCCCGACCCAGCCATAGGACCTCTGTCTTCAAAGAATTTAGTTTCAATCGGCTCCCACGAAACCATCCAGCTGCCAAGCATCTGGTCAGTGTGTCGGTGTGGCCGAGTCGGTGTGGCCATGCATCAGCAGATAGAGCTGAGTGTCATCAGCATATTGGTGACAGCCCAGCCCAAAGCTCCGGATAATCTGGGCAAGGGGGCGCATAAAGATGTTTAAAAGCATCGGGGAGAGAATTGTGCCCTGTGGCACTCCACACACCAAGGAGTGGTGCGAAGACATTTCCCTCCCTAGTGCCACCCTCTGTCCCCGACCAGAGATAAAAGAGCACAGCCAGTTACGGGCTATGCCCTGTATCCCCACGTCTGCGAGGCGGTGGTCCAGAAGATCATGATCGACCATGTCAAAGGCAAAGATAATGATCGACCATGACAAATCTAGAAGGATCACCAGTCCTGACCCGCCTCGATCCAGTTGTCTACGGAGATCGTCTGTTAGGGCAACCAGAGCCGTCTCGGTCCCAAAACCAGGACGGAAACCGGACTGAAATGGATCTAAAGCCGATGTTTCCTCCAGAAACCAACCAAGCTGTTCGGCAACCGCTCTCTCAATTACTTTACCCAAGAGAAAAACACAGAGATGCATAGCAGAGTAAGAAATAAAAACTCAGTTGTAAAGTCCATAGATTGTTTAATAAGCCATACCCCTGGGAGAAGAGCAATGCTTTCGCCTGTTGCCTAAAGATAAGGTCCTCCTCCGAGGGGGTTTTCTGCTGGGGTATAGATACTAAATTTAAAGTGGTAGCTTGGGTTAAATACTTAATTCGTTCTGGAGGTCCGTTCTTAACGTGAAACTGTTCTTAACCTGAAGCACCACTTTAGCTAATGGGACCACCCGCCACCGCGCTGCTGCTGCGTGATTTCTGTTCTCATCCTGAAGCAAAGTTCTTAACCCGAGGTACTATTTCTGAGTTAGCAGAGTCTGTAACCTGAAGCGTATGTAACCCGAGGTAGCACTGTAATACTATTAAGGCGATCCTGGCCAGCAATGCCCACCCCTCTCCCCTCTCCCCCCTCCTTCCCTGCAACTCCCTTTCCACCAGATCCATGCAGGAGGAAACATCTCTCTCTCCCCCCCCCTTCAAGGCCCCCTTTAAGGAAACAGCTCCCTTTCCTCCCTTCTTCCCCTCCCCGTCCGGGGGCTTCTCATCCTGGACCCCCTCGCAAAGCCCCTTCCCTCCTTCTCCGCCCCTTGCTTTGCACTCACCCGAAATCCCAGGCAGCGGGAGCGGGAATGGAAGCCCCTGAGTGGGAGGCAGGGCGTGAGGGCGCTTAATTAGGAGGCTTGATTAGGAAGCAGCCCCCTCCTCCGCACGACGCAGCCCCGCTTCCCGCCTCTTCCCCTCCCTCCTTTGCAAACCCCGATTTTATCTCTGCTGTTGAAACCGGAAGTGGAGGCTACTCAGAGGAGGAAGGAGAAGTTCTCTCCACGCTCAGCCTCTTGTCTGTTACTTGATAATTGGGGGAAGGAAAACCTTGCAGCACCCAACCAATGGGAAGACGAGGGAGGGAACGTGTGCATAGGGAATATAAGCTCATTCCTTGCCCCAGCTGGACTGTGCCTGCTTTGGCTCCCAGCTCCTTCAAGAATATATTGTCCTCACTAAGGGCTTGCCGATCAGAAGGTTGGCTGTTCGAATCCCCGCAAAGGGGTGAGCTCCCATTGCTCTGCCTCTGCTCCTGCCAACCTAGCAGTTCGAAAGCACATCAAACTGCAAGTAGATAAAGAGGTACCTGTTGTAAACAAAATCTGCCCTTATTCCCTTATGGAGGACACAAGAGCCCTTATAGAGTCCTTTGCAGGTTCTCCATCAGTGGGAGAAAATAACAGAGGCCAACCAGAGACTATTGATAAGCAAAGCAGCTAGTAAGCCTGATCTTTATTGAACTGTTGCAACAGGTTGCTCCCCTCACACGCAGGAGAAAGGAGGAGGACCCCGGACAAAGGTGTGCCTGCCATTATATAGCCCTTTTAAATTCCCTGCCCTGGAGCTCAAGACCACCCCTCCATACATCATACATACATCACAGAAGGGGTGTAACCCAAGACCACCCCCACCAACATCATACTTACACCACAGAAATGGTGGTCAACAACAGAACTTTGAATGTTGTTGTTTTTCCTGTCTGCCAGGTTATGTGATAATGTCTTATCTGATTGCCTTTCCTGGTAGTCTGGCCATTCCTTTGAGACGGTGATTACCCAATTCCTGAGACAATGGGAAGGCCCCTCACCCCTCCCTCCTTGCAGAGAATACATTTCGTCAGTTTGGGAGTCAAAATGGTTTCAGGACGGTCTTCCTGTGCTGCTCCAGAGACGTGGTCCACGTATCTATGTACGTGTTTGGTTGGTACAGTTATGAACATCTATTATATATAAAAGGGACACGGGTGGCGCTGTGGGTAAAACCTCAGCGCCTAGGACTCTTGCCAATCACATGGTTGGCAGTTCGAATCCCCGCGGCGGGCTGAGCTCCCGTCGTTTGGTCCCAGCTCCTGCCCACCTAGCAGTTTGAAAGCACCCTTAAGTACAAGTAGATAAATAGGTACCGCTTTCTAGTGGGAAGGTAAATGGTGTTTCCGTGTGCTGCTCTGGTGCCAGTTCGCCACAGCAGCTTCGTCACGCTGGCCACGTGACCCGGAAGTGTCTGCGGACAGCGCTGGCTTCCGGCCTCTAGCGTGAGATGAGCGCACAACCCTAGAGTCTGTCAAGACTGGCCTGTACGGGCAGGGGCACCTTTACCTATTATATATAAAAGGCCTTAAATTTTTTTA